TTACATCTGCCGCTATAGTACAACTTTCCAATTTTATCCGATGTCCCCGAAGAATATAACTATTATATAACTTTCCAATTTTAATGGATTTTTCCGAAGGGTTGAATTTGACCTTTCTGGAATTCTTGGATACGTAAGCAATAATTTATTGTTCATGCCCAAACTGTTACATTTTACCTTTTTAGGTAGTCAATCTCTTCGATGAAGTTTGTCCTGCTCAGAGTTGACCTGTAACGATTCAGGTTCAACTATTAATGTATTACACTAATTGTTTTGGTTTAACTTTTGGATCCTCAACACTTTAATTTGACCGCTTGGGCTTTAATCCAAAATGTGCTTCAAAAATTGAATTCTCTCATTTCCTATTACAATGGGAATGTAAGGTTTTTCTATAAATCTGTTTCAATCTGAAATTTTAATATTTGTCATTGTAAGAATTCAAGTTAACCAATTTCCCAAGATTATTCGTTTAGTTTCCGGTGTAGGAAATTAATAGCTGCTCGTTACCACGGGATGTGGATTTAAAATCACTCGGTTAATTATCCAATAATAAACGATATATAAACTAACAATGCAAAAATATTGTAAAAATAGCATGGGCTAGCCAGTTTTCGGACTTGTCATTCAAAAATAGCCAATGTTCCAAGTCATTGCAAAACAGACACTATTTTGCTGCAACAGAGACCGGTCCAGCATATTATACTGAAGTTCGGTGCATCTGTGTATGAACTTCCAACATATTATGCTGGAACTCCAACACGCGAAAAGTTCCAGCATAATATACTGGAGATTCGAGCACCTATGTATAAACTTCCAGCTTATTATACTGGACCAATATACTTTGCTGGAACTCCATTATATTATGCTGGAGTTCCAGTGTACTTATGTCGGAACTCCAATAATATGCTGGAACTCCAGTATAATATACTGGAGTATTTTCCGAATTTTGAACAATATTTTCGTTCAGATTCATCTTTACATAAAAAGTGGCTAAATTTCGATTACTTTTGAAAGTGTGACTATTTTTAAATGATCGCTTATAAATCTCGCTATTTTTTTGAATTTCTCCCAAAAATATTTCGCCACTGTTATAGTGGTTAATCTGTTGTAACACATTACTACCTTATTTTTGAGGTTACAAACTCATGCATAAGGACGGATAGCCGAAAAATTATATTGTATATATAAAGCAAAATCTATTGTGTACCTCTATTTATTATATTTTGAATCCCCTTGACATAGCGCAAAAGCATAACTCAGTGATCAAAGGGTTCAAAACTTTTGTAAGGTCACTGATTCTATTCCCACTAGCCATAGTATCTTTAAATTTTAACTTTTTTCTCTTTTAAATTCTTTTGTGGAAATCCTGCCTCCCAACTGCTCATGCATAAGATAGACAATAACCAGTAATTAGCTTTTAAATGACCTAATACCTAATAGTATATAAAATTTTGCAGAGTCAATGTATTTAAGTTAAACCCTAATTATCATATGGGGTTATTTCAAAAAGATAATTCAATCCAAAAAGAGCACCTCACAGGGAATGGACAGCTATAGGAATAACAATGAATGTATTCATTTCTTTCATATATAGGAGTCGTCTCTTATAACAAAATTACAAAAATGCTTAGAAACCACTTGGGAGTAGAAAATACTAGTCAAAAACATGAAGAATACAACAACAACAACAACAACAAAACCTAGTAAGTTTCCACAAGTGAGATCTAAGGAGAGTAGGACAGGCAGAGAGTCTATTTCCGATAGACCTTCGACTAGAGAGTAGATGAGAGTCTAAAACATGAAGAATGATCACAACAAATGGCTAATAAAACACTTCTTAGGGAGCAGGCAACTTTCTGGCTAATGTTATTTAGATAGTCTTCAATCTTCACTTGGTACAGAGCTTCAAATTTCAATTTCTTATCAAATGTGGGCCTGATATTCAAAAACGACACGTTTCAATCGTCTACAGACTAAAATTCGGTCTAATGTAGAATAATAGTTAATGAAAGTGCACCGCAAAATGGCATTTGAACTTGGCCAACTTACCCGATAAGACCAATAGAACGCGCCAGCACGAACAATCCTCTTAACTTAGGATCGGACAACAGAAGCAGCTTGTGAGCTCTGACTGACCAACTTTCATGTGACAGCCATAAAACCTTGAAGAGTTAGCAAAATGCATCTGCTAGCAATCTGACGATGAACCTGAAGCACAAGTGCTTTTTGTATTTACTGCTCCTTATGGCTGTTACGTCCTGCAGTGCTGCTTGCTGTCTGGGCTTGAATAACATACTCCCTCTGCAGATCGTTAAGTTTCTTCACCAATTCTTGGAAAGACAGGCGACAACCACATGAGTTGGACGAAACAGTAAAGTTGCATACCAGGTCAGTTGAGAAGATTGAAATCCCTTTGTCGAAAATTATAGTGCGAAAATAAGGTAAAATAGTTGCACAAGGAAAGCTTTAGTGCAGCAGCAAAGGTGAGTCAAAATTGCTTTAAGTCGTAGGTACTTATTAGTCACTTGTAAATGAAATGCACAGAACCCCATCACGGGAAAATATCAAAGTTCTTTCATGATTGTCTTATATGCATCTGAGAATGAAGTTTCTGGCAAAAGCTGCAGCTGTTTGCAGTAATATAGGACTTCAGATTCTACGATATGAAAACAAAATATAACAAACAACAAATACTGAAAAATCTTCACCCTATAAGGAAAATAGTGGACAATCAGGCAATACAAATTTAAAATGCAACTCAATTTGTACTACGTGTGAAACTTAGTTATTAGGATGTGTATTGGCTACTGAACATGTATATTTGAGTTTCATGCAATCCGTTTTTATAGGCAATCGGAGATGTTCCTAGCACATAGGCAAAATGGATCTTCTCTTCACTTCTGTTTGGTCCACAAGATAGCAAAGCATTCATCAGATCAGATGTTGTCATTGTCTTAATCTTCCATATACTCTCCGTCTTTAATAGTATAGGTTCTTGAAAATAAAATAATTACCACTGATATAGCTATAGTGATGTTTCAAGAAGAACTTTAGTCGTCAATCCAGGGGAATAACCTAAAGTTCTAGCAAACTTGCAGCACAACCGAAGCATACACAATGCTCCATCTTAGAAGTTAACATGAACAAATAATGAATTAAAAATGAGACTAACTAGACAGGCTTACCCATTGGCTCAGAGATCAAAATATTAGCTTTCTCCGGTAACTCTACATCTTCAACCTTTCCTTTGATTACCTAAACATCCATAGATGAAACATAAACAAAAAAACATAAGACGCACTACCAAGATGCTGTATGAATATGTTGGATAGCATTGGAAAAGACACCGGAAAAAACCAAGAGAACAATCAATAATTCAACACCTCCTCAATCCCATACTAAGTGGAGTCAGCTTAAACAAGTAAAAGAACACTTGCTGTAATTCTTTCATTCAGTAATGGATTTCCAGCAATCCGTTTTCTGGCATATTCGGCCATTTCAGAAGCTTCTATGGCATAAACATGCTTTGCCATGGTTGATATCGTTCATCAAAAAGCACAAGATGCATTGGTACAAACAGATCACCTGAGCTGCAAATAATGACTATGTTGCTCGGACTCTTCGAAAATGTCGCTGGATGTGTGTTGGATCCTCCACAAGTAATGCATTTTTGGAGGATCCGACACGGGTGCGGCAATATTTTGGAGAGTCCACGCAACATAGAATAATGACAAAACGCCACTACCAGCACCAACATCAACCACTATGCGACCCTCTAGAAAAATAGCCAGTAAGATCTAGTCTTCAAGCGTTGATTAGAAAGATGAGTGTCAGAAACCTCATGTAATTAACAACACAAATACTGGTTTAGAGTAGGCTTAGACATCATCCATATGATAGGACCAAGGGGCCAGAATTTAGCCATTGCGGTACCACGCCATAAGCATAAACTTGATTCCAAAAATTCTATGATCAAGTTTGGAGTAACTGATAGACTTGTCTTTGACAATTTAACCTGTAAAAGGAATTTCACGCACCTTCTCCAATATGTTCACCAATTGTTAAGTCCTCCCACAAGATTTCGTAATCCGGGCAGTCAGTATCTATGTCCACCTTATTAACATTACTACTGCTGGTGCTTCCGCAGCTACTAGTACTGCTTGTGCTGTTGACATCAAATGAAGTAAACCAGGATCCCGAAGCTTCATTGGTGGTTGTCCAGTTAGTATCAATAAACTGATTGTCTGGTTCTAATGCATTATAACTGTTAATGTAATTAAACTCATTTTCATGGTTATTGTTTAGCCAAGCCCGTACAAGTCTCGTACTCTCTGTCTCTGACACATCTCGATTGTTGCCTTTCCATGGCCATGGTAAGCTCTTCTTCGCCATCCACGCCTCTGCCTTCAAGGTGATAGCCTTACAAATCCCTTGTTTTCCCTCACTCTCATCCCCAGAATAGCTTGAGAGTTTCCCCGGAGAATGTTCCTCTTTTGCAAGAATAGAGAATAATCCAATGGGAGAAGGGTGAAAATCTCCCAAACGCGTACTCGCTCCAATGGAATTTGCATCCTCCCTATGATCTGAGAGAGCAGCACCAGAAAATGCATGGCTAAAGTAATGACTATCTCCCCTTCCACCTTCATAAAGCACGCTGCTCTCTCCTGTCTTAATTTTTGACTTAACCTTGTCGCTCACCTTTGAGGCCTGTTATGAGATATCGTCATATTATCATATGCCTACCCTTGTATACAGACAGTAAAGAGAACAAAAAGAAAACCAGGCAACTATCCAAACAAAGTGAGTACTAACCAAATTAGAAATTTTGGAGGCAATGGTAACTTGCAGGGGCTGCTGGGGATCAAGTCCATGTTTGGAAGAAGCAAGGGTTCTGGCTCTAAATCTTGCATCAGGTTCCAATTGCCTCACTTCCATCGATGCAAACCCTGTTTCCTGGAAATCCCTCACATTACTCGCTACAGAAATAACACCGACAAAAGTACCTTCATCATCATAAAAAGGGCTAGTCGTAACCATGATTACAAATCTATCTCCTTGCTTATTCTTAACTGGAAACTGTCCAGTCCAACTCTCACCCATTTTTACCGCTAGGTCTATAATGTTAGCAGCATCACCATAATCCTGAGCATCAGCTAAGAGCTCAATGGTATCTTGTCCAAGAGCTTCTTCAGCAGAATAACCATATAGTCGTTCAGCAGATTGATTCCTGTGCAACAATGGCTCAAATTACACTCCTAAATTAATAACATTGAAAAACATGACAAACACCAATCAAGGTCCATCAATGGCTCAACTTACACTCCTATGTTACATTGAACAAACGTGACAAACAGCAATCATAGTCTAACTAAAAAGCAAACTCAGCTAATTAAAGACACAAACTCAATCTCTCCCAGCCACTTCTTTTCTCTCCCAATCCAAATGAATAAAAGAAAAATGAAAAGGCAAAAGATACGAAATCTACTTCAATTACTCACCAGTAATTTATACGATAGTTGACATCAAATACATGCAATGTGTTGGGATCGAAATAACATGGTGCATGCGGAAACTAACAATAACAAGCTTGGTGGACGATAAATCAGATGACAAAAGAAAAATATACTAAACTAAGCATAATAGTTTATAATGATTTGGTTAATTGATCTACATATGATAAAACTAATATAAAAGAAGAAAAACTATCGAGAGAAAAATCTCCCCCTAAACAAAACTCTTTAATGACTACATTGTGGATATTTTTGTTGTCCTCTTGTGAGAAGTAGAGATCCTTAATTTATAGATGTGCAAAACTTGTCTTCCAAGAAAAGGATAAGACATATTAAGGAGATCTAATCCTTTTAGGAGTCTTTTTCCATTCCTTCAAGAAAGAGAGTCCTAATAGATTAGAAATTCAGGGCAAATCCTAACAATCTCCCCTTGGCTTGAATTTTCTTGACAAGGTTGATTCACGTTCTTCACATAATCTTCATCACTGCTGCTTGTCATGATTAAAAATCGGTAAAGGTTGAAAATCTTGGTATTGATTAAAAGAAGCTCAAGTATGGGTTAAAAGGAACCCACGTGTTAAGAATAAACATGGGGTAAAAGAAGCTCATGCATTAAAAAGAAGCGTGAGTTAAAACTGACATTGGAACTCATGCGTTACAAGTAGGCATGACTTAAAACTGGCATTGGTTAAAAGTGCCAAAATATGGGTTAAAAGGAGAGATGTAGCCGCACGCGTTTTGAATACAATTGTGATTGTAAATTTATCTCCACATGTAGTATGTTGAATAAATCTTCATTATCGTCCTGTCTAAACACGCATTGAATTTGTCTTCAACCTCGTTCAACCGTTGACTCTGAATCATTGGCTCTGATATCACTTGTTGAGATCGAAATAACATGGTGCATGCGAAAACTAACAATAACAAGCTTGGTGGACGATAAATCAGACGACAAAAGAAAAATATACTAAACTAAGCATAATAATTTATAATGGTTTGGTTAATTGATCTACATATGATAAAACTAATATAAAAGAAAGAAAAACTATCGAGAGAAAAATCTCCCGCTAAACAAGATACTTAATTTATACATGTGCAAAACTTGTCTTCCAAGAAAAGATGACATATTAAGGAGATCTAATCCTTTTAGGAGTCTTTTTCCATTCCTTCAAGAAAGAAAGTCCTAATAGATTAGAAATTCAGGCAAATCCTAACACAATGTTTGTCCCATTGAATCTAATATATTCAAATAGTGTCTATCAGTAAACTTCACTGCAGCATGGCCATCAGTACTACTCTCTCTTTCCAATGGTGACAAATGCCTGAAATAAGTTGACCTGTGATCGTACAACTCTAACGAGGCAGCGGCAGCACCACCATCAAAACCACCACCAGCCCTACAACGAGGCGGCTGTTGTGACCTGTAATCGTAAGTAATCATGAGCTTAGACATCTCCTGCTTCAATTGAGCATGATCTGCCTCCAGTTCTTGGATCTTCTTTAGCAGTTCCTCAGCTGGTGAAGTTGGTCCTTGAGCTGATACTGTTGTACTATCCATTTCAATCCAATATTCCAAGATCGATCAAACCCCACTTCAGATTCAACCAGTTTGATTTTCTTTCTGAGAAAAACTAATCGGATGTATCAATGACTAATTTATTGTTAGGTATTAGCCTTATCTGAGAAGAACTGGGAATAGAAATTAGGAAAGTAGAGCTCATATTAGGTCTTTTTCGAGGAGCCACGTGGCATGATACAGGTGGCATGTTATAATCAAATTTGGACGTATATATAGATTACATTTACATTTACATTTACAACTAAAATAAATAAGAAGGAACGGTGGAGATTAGATATTTGGAGACTTTAAACATGGGTCAATAATTTTACTATATAATTAAAAATGATCACTGTACACTGAGGTCTCCCGGAAACAGTCTCTCTGCCCCTCGTGGTAGAGGTAAGGTCTGCGTACATATTACCCTCCCCAGACCCCACTTGTGAGATTACACTGACTTCTTCTGCTGCAACCAAATACCATTGAGGTGAACAATGAGCAATATATTATGAATTTTGTATTCATGTATAAAAAAAAAAATCTTGATTAATTACTAGACAACACAGATAGCTTGACTACCGGTTCGTCAATACATTTCCGAAGACGAGTTGTGGATTAATTACTAACTAGTTGTATTTACAACTTTATTAGATTAGATATCTGAAATTCGAACCGATTCACTCAATTTTGGATTTTAGATATTTGGATTGGATTTCGAATTATATTTATTAAAATTTTAGATATTCGAATCGGATTCGGATTGGTATAATTTTAACCCGATCCGATCCAATCCGAAATTATTAAGGCATGTAGAAATACTAAACTTTAATTTCGGATAGTTAGTAGTTCTTTTACATCTTTCTCCTAGTTATTACCTTTACAATTGCTGGATTTAGCTATATTGGCACCATAGTACCCTCATAATTGCAGAAACATCAATTTTTTTGCTGTATTGCCTCTTTTACAAAAGAAATATCCGCATGAGTTTGCAACTTTGAGACATAACAACTCGAACATCTAGAGAAATATTTTCTTAGGATGCAATGCTGATAAAAGAGATGAAAAACAAAGAGATGTTTGTATTAGCACAGAACATAGAAGAAGCAGATAAGGCAGATGCATTATCCGATTAGATTAGCAATAACCTTAATAATACGTATAATCCGATCCAGAATCCGAAATATTGATACGATCCAAACTTTAAAATCCAATCCGATCTGATATTAATTCGGTTCGAATTCGAATTGCATTTTGTAGAATCCAAAATCCGAATTCGAAATATGCGAAATTCGATCTGATCCATGCACAACCCTATTTCCAACGACCTTCTCTCTCTTTCTCTTCTCTGGTCTATGCAGATTCTTCTTCTATCCTTCCTGTAACCTCCATGCTTTTCGCCTTCTTCTTCGAGAATTCATCAATTGAGTTATCATTGTAGAGTTGTATGTTAATTGTAATTTCATTTGACATTGTATTCGGTATAACCCAAACTGATTGCAATCAATAAAAGTTTCAGTTGTCGAATTGTCTTTATAATTTCTCGAATTTGTTCATTACAATTCTAAGCCATAACAAATTGGTATCAGAGCACATTCCTGGCCAAGATGACAGTCCCAAAAACAAGATCAATCCACTGAAGAAGGTGTTAAGAAAGTGAAAACACAATTACAAAATTACATAGCTGATCTAGCAAGAAGTTTGAGTCTCATGACTCGAAATTGGATGAATTGGGTAGGAAGCTTGACATGTTGATTGAGAGGCTTCTTCCTAATACGGATGGTATTCTGGGCAATGCACCCAGGAATAATCTTCAACTGGGAACTTTTGGAAGTCGATCACACAGAGGAGAGCACTTTGATACAGTAGCAGGAAGAACTCAGAACAATCAACGCTCTAGATTTGAGTTTTCTTTCTTTGAATATATTGATCCCTGCGCGTGGTTGAGAAAAGGGGAGAGATACTTTCAGTATATATATAGATTCTTGATCCAGAAGAAAAATTGGAGATTGCAGTTTTATATCTTACTGGTAAGGCAGAATCTTGGTTCTTTTCCCAGAGGCGGCTCAACCCTAAAACCACTAAAGCAGTGGCTTTAGGCCCCAAAAAGTTAAGACTCCAAAATTAATCATATATATAATATAAATAATTATATATATATTTATTGTAGTAAAAATAAATTTTTGCAATCATATGTTTTCAATTTTTATCAATCATTACGTCTATATTTCAAAGTTTATACTATGTACATTTTAAAATATATAATGTAATTATGGTTGAAAATAGTAGGCAATTATATTTGTAGCTACTTTCTATCTTAATTTTGTCTAATGCATTTGAACTTGAATCATTCTTGTTTATAACTTTAGTGTTGTAAGATTTAATTTTTTCAATTCTCTGAATGTCTTTTTAAATATTTTCAAGCTCAAGCTAACTAGATTATTAAACGATTAGATTAGAAAATATGCTACCTTATTGTAGCTTGATTCCTCCTAAAAACTTGGTCAAACACATCAAATTTCTTAAAAATATACGTTTTGGAGGGGGAGGGGGGAGGTTGGAGAAGCTTGATTAAACAATATATTAATCTTGAATATCTTTTAAATCATAATAATCTATGAAATTGATGATTTTATCAATTTTTGGAATTAAAAGTGAGATAAAAATTGTACAAGTAAATCATGATACTCTAATTTTTTAAATGTTTCTATTGCTTATAGAATAATTTTAATATTTTCTCTAATTGTTCCATCGGTTGAAAAAAGTTTGTAAACTAAAATCAATGAGATATAACTTAAGATTAACAATGTCTCATGAGAATTACACGTACTAACCATATTATTAAGTGAAAAAATTAATTACCCAAATATAATTAACTTTCTTGAATTTCATGAAGCTATAGGAATAAATATCAAATTAATATATAAAAATTTTACTAAAAGAATTAAGGCCTCTTTTAAGTTTTAGCTTTAGGCCACATATTAGATTGAGCTTTCACTGTTTTTTCCTACCACATAAGCAAATGAACAGTTAGATGTAGGGTGTACTTGGACCGGGTTATACATCAGCATATCTACCATTCTTGCACCGGCCTAGCTTGAGATTTTACAAAGCTATTAATCCAATTAATGTGATATTAAAACATTGACCAAATTTAAGGACATAGACATGAATGCCAACAAGCTTTTATTATATTGAATTTATTCAATAATTTTTAATTCAGAATAAGAAAACTCGATTTTCTCGCTAAAAGTAGGTAATTCGTTCTCTATCTTTATTTGTATCGCATTTTATGCATGAGATTAGCAGCTTCGATAAGATTTTGTATTTTGATCGGAGGAAAAATTACCAAACGTCTAACATTCTCTCACGCTCGGGGCCACTATAGTTTTTTTAGCTAAAAAGAAGAACATATATGCCAACTCGCTTGATCTTTTAAAGTTTGTTAATTAGCTAATTACGTATTAAGATTATCAGTTATGATATTGAAAAGTAAATATCAATTTGAGATACGAAATGAAACTTTTATAACCCAAAAATACCTCAAATCTAAATTATAATATATCATTTAAAAAGTCAACGCTGCTTACACGAAGCCACTGACATAGTCGGCAGCAGATCTGCAGCAATCACGGCTTGTCTCACCGGTCGTCGGATATCCTCACAGATGAACTCCCTTGTTTTCAAAGCCTAAATATCCCTTCGGTGCAAAGATTGATCGATTGATATTAAAACTCAAGTCGTTGCTAGTGAAAATCTCTCTTTTCAACACCCATAATGGTGTTTTTTATAGACTAGAACTAGGGCTTTAGGAGGACTAGCTAATGGGTAACGAGTTAATTAGCACCCCTTATGAATGGATCCGAAAATAGTAATTTTCCAGCAAATCCAAACTTCCTATTAAAACAAGAAACATGGAACTTGATTAATGTAAGTTTTTTCCAGAATTTTTGGAATGGTTGCATATTATAGGATTCAAGTGAAGTGATGTAATGCACTTTCTATAGCAAACACCAGTGGCGGAGGCAGAATCTCCACGAAGGAGATTCAAAAAACTTATTTTGTAGCTAGTAGGAATTGAACTCATAATCTTATGTAGATTTTGAATCCCCTTGACCACTAAACTACACTTTTGGATTATGTTAAGGGGATTCAAAACTTAATATATAGAGGTAAAAAACAGATTTTGCCTTATATATACAGTGTAATTTTTCGGCGAAGGGGGTTCGGGTGAACCCCCTTGCGCTCCCCTAAATCCACCCCTGGCAAACACATGCCTTATTGCCTTAGAGAAGTCGAAGTGGTCTTATTTTCAGCTATTCTTTTTTGGTAACATCGTCAGCTATTGTACAACTTTCCAATTTTATCGGATGTCCCTGAATGACATAGCTATTATACAACTTTCCAATTTTATCGGATGTTCTCAAACGGTTGAATTTGACCTCTCAGGAATTCTTGGATACGTATGCAATAATTTATTGTTCGTGGGAGATTGTTACATTTTACCTTTTTAGGTATTCAACCTCCTCGATGAAGTTTGCCCCACCAAAACTTGACTTGTAACGATTCAGGTTCAACTGTCAATATATTACATTATTTACCACTCAGGCTTTAATCCAAAATGTGCTTCAACAATTGAATTCTTGATCTTGATTTTGATGACGTCTAACTTTTCCATTCTATTATAATGTGAAATTTGTTTAAAGCAGAGCAGAGAATATAGGTTCAAATGACTTGTTAGGATTGTCTTTAACAAATTTTTTAGAAGAAAAAAAAATTGTGTATGTATAATTGTTTTATAAATGAGTTTGTTTTAAGACAAATGAGTGGTGTTAATAGCCCTTTCCTCTTGATTTATTTAACCTCTATTACTCTTGTATTATATAGTGTTAACTCTATCATTGCCTATTATAATAGCAATCTATATTGATCCTAACAGCTGCTCGTTGCCATTGATTTATTTAAAACCATTCGGTTAATTACCAATAATAACTCACATAAACTAAAAATGAAAAAAAAAAAATTGCCACGATTAGAGTAGTTGATTTTTTTTTTGGTTTCCCACCCGGTGTCCGGTACCCACATTGGGGCCCGACTAAATCCAGATTCGCGCCGGAAAATCCTACATTGGGGGATAAAGCGCTTCCTAACAAAAGACGATTCCATACCCAGGGGCTCGAACCCGAGACCTCTGTTAAAGATGAAGGAGTACTTACCACTCCACCACAACCCTTGTCGGTAGAGTAGTTAATCTGTTATAACACGTTACTACCTTATTTTTGGGGTTACAAACTCATGCATAAGATAGAAGAGTAACAAGTTATTAGCATTTAAATGGCCTGATATCGAATGGTATATAAAATAATAGTCTGTGTATTTAATTTAAACTCTAATTATCATATGGGGTTATTCCAAAAATCTATTCAATCTCAATTAACAACAAGCTTAACTTGTAAGTCTTTTGAAACAATTTGTGCAACAAGCACATAACAAGATAATTCATTCCAAAAAGAGCACATCACAAGGAATGGACCTATGTTGAGGGAATGAACTTATGTTGCGGGGACTCTCCAAAACAGTTACCGCACCTGCGTCGCATCCTCCAAAAATAGTGGATCCGACATGCACCCATCGATATTTTCGGATAGTCCGAGCAACATAGGAATGAACAAGCTATAGGAATAACAAAAAGTGTATCATTTCTTTCATATATAGGAGTTGTCTCTTATTACAAACTTACAAAAATGCTTAGAAACCATTGGGAGTACAAAATATTTGTCTAAAACATGAAGAATGATCACAACAAATGGCTAATAAAACACTTTTTAGGGAGCAAGCAACTTTCTGGCTGTTGTTATTTAGAGTCTTCAGTCTTCACTTGGTACAGTGTTTCAATCTCTTCTGATCAAATGTGTGCCTGGAATTCAAATATGGCATGTTTCAATCGTATAGAGACTAGAAATTCGGTCTAATGTAGAAGAACAGTTAATGGAAGTGCACCACAAAATGGCATTTGAATCATTACCCAATTTACCCGATAAGACAATAGAACGTGCCAGCACGAACATCCCTCTGAACTTTGGATCGGACAACACAAGCAACTTGTGAGCTCTGGCTGACCAACTTTCATGTGACAGCCATAAAACCTTGAAGAGTTAGCAAAATGATTCTGCTAGCAATCTGACGATCAACCTGAAGCACAAGCGCCTTTTGTATTTACTATTCCTTATGGCTGCTACGTCCTGCATTGCTACTTGCTGTCTGGGCTTGAATAACATACCCCCTCTGCAGATCGTTAAGTTTCTCCACCAATTCTTGGAAAGACGGGCGACACTGTGGTTCACTGAGTTGAACGAAACAGTAAAGTTGCATACCAGGTCAGTTGAGAAGATGGGGAAAATTAAAGAGATTCAAAGCCAAAAGTTGCCAGGGCTAGCGTGGAAAATAGTGGACAATCAGGCAGTACAAATTTAAAATGCAACTCAATGTGTACTATGTGTGAAAGTTATTAGGATGTGTATTGGCTACTGAACATGTATATATGTGTTTTATGCTCTCAGTTTTTATAGGCAATCGGAAATGTTCCCAGCACATAGGCAAATGGATCTTCTCTTCACTTCTGTTTGGTCCACAGATAGCAAAGCATTCATCAGATCAGATGTTTCCATTGTCTTAATCTTCCATATACTCTCCGTCTTTAATAGTATAGGTTCTTGAAAATCAAATAATTGACAATGATATAGCTGTAGTGATGTTTCAAGAAGAACTTTAGTCGTCAATCCAGGGGAATAACCTAAAGTTCTAGCAAACTTGCAGCACGACCGAAGTATACACAATGCTTCATCGTAGAAGTTAACATGATCAAATAATAAATTAAAAATGAGACTAACTAGACAGGCTTACCCATTGGCTCAGAGATCAAAATATAAGCTTTGTCAAGTAACTCTACATCTTCAACATTTCCTTTGATTACCTAAACATCCACAGATGAAACGTTAACAAAAAAACATAAGAAGCACTACCAAGATACCATATGAATATGTCGGATAGCATTGGAGAAGGCACAGGAACAAAACAAGAGAACAATCAATAAATCAACAACACCTCAATCCCATACTAAGTGGAGTCAGCTTAAACAAGTAAAAGAACACTTGCTGTATTTCTGTCATTCAGTGATGGACTTCCAACAATCAGTTTTCTGGCATATTCGGCGATTTCAGAAGCTTCTATGGTATAAACATGCTTTGCACCAGCCTATGAGGTTTTTTGGGTGTGGAGAGGTGGGAAAAAGAAAAGATATAGAGTAGAGATATCAGCATAAATGGCTGTGCTATGGTTGATATCGTTCATTGACAAGCACAAGATGCATTGGTACAAACAGATCACCTGAGCTGCAAATAATGACAAAATGCCACTACCAGCACCAACATCAACCACTATGCGACCCTCTAGAAAAATAGCCAGTAAGATCTAGTCTTCAAGCGTTGATTAGAAAGATGAGTGTCAGAAATCATGAAATTAACAACACAAATACTGGTTTAGAGTAGGCTTAGACATCATCCATATGATAGGACCAAGAGGCCAGAATTTAGCCATTGCGGTACCACGCCATAAGCATAAACTTGATTCCAAAAATTCTATGATCAAGTTTGGAGTAACTGATAGACTTGTCTTTGACAATTTAACCTGTAAAAGGAATTTCACGCACCTTCTCCAATATGTTCTCCAATTGTTAAGTCCTCCCACAAGATTTCGTAATCCGGGCAGTCAGTATCCATGTCCACCTTATTAACATCACTACTGCTGGTGCTTCCGCAGCTACTAGTACTGCTTGTGCTGTTGACATCAAATGAAGTAGACCAGGATCCCGAAGCTTCATTGGTGGTTGTCCAGTTAGTATCAATAAACTGATTGTCTGGTTCTAATGCATTATAACTGTTAATGTAATTAAACTCATTTTCATGGTTATTGTTTAGCCAAGCCCGTACAAGTCTCGTACTCTCTGTCTCTGACACATCTCGATTGTTGCCTTTCCATGGCCATGGTAAGCTCTTCTTCGCCATCCATGCCTCTGCCTTAAAGGTGATAGCCTTACAAATCCCTTGTTTTCCCCCACTCTCATCCCCAGAATAGCTTGAGAGTTTCCCCGGAGAATGTTCCTCTTTTGCAAGAATAGAGAATAATCCAAAGGGAGAAGTGTGAACATCTTCCAAACGCGTACGCGCTCCAATGGAATTTGCATCCTCCCAGTGATCTGAGAGAGCAGCCCCAGAAAATGCACGGCTCAAGTAATGACTATCTCCACTTTCACCTTCATGATGCACGCTGCTCTCTCCTGTCCTTATTTTTGACTTAACCTTGTTGCTCACCTTTGAGGCCTGTTATGAGATTTCGTCATATGCCTACCCTAGTATACAGACAGTAAAGAGAACTAAAAGAAAACCAGGCAACTATCCAAACAAAGTGAGTACTAACCAAATTAGAAATTTTGGAGGCAATGGTAACTTGCAGGGGCTGCTGGGGATCAGGTCCAAGTTTGGAAGAAGCAAGGGTTCTGGCTCTAAATCTTGCATCAGATTCCAACTGCTTCACTTCCATCGATGCAAACCCTGTTTCTTGGAAATCCCTAGCATTACTCGATACAGAAATAACACCGACAAAAGTACCATCATCATCATAAAAAGGGCTAGTCGTAACAATGATTACGAATCTATCTCCTTGCTTATTCTTAACTGGAAACTGTCCAGTCCAACTCTCACCCCTTTTTACCGCTAGGTCTATAATGTTAGCAGCATCACCATAATCCTGAGCATCAGCTAAGAGCTCAATGGTATCTTGTCCAAGAGCTTCTTCAGCAGAATAACCATATAGCCGTTCAGCAGATCGATTCCTGTGCAACAATGGCTCAAATTACACTCCTAAATTAATAACATTGAAAAACATGACAAACACCAATCAAGGTCTAACAATGGCTTAACTTACACTCCTATGTTACATTGAACAAACGTGACAAACAGCAATCATGGTCTAACTAAAAAGCAAACTCAGCTAATTACAGACACAGACACAAACACAATCTCTCCCAGCAACTTCTTTTCTCTCCCAATCCAAATGAACAAAAGAAAAATGAAAAGGCAAAAGATACGAAGTCTACTTCAATTACTCACCAGTAATTTATACGATAGTTGACATCAAATATATGCAATGCTTGTCCCATTGACTGTAATATATTCAAATAGTGTCTATCAGTAAACTTCACTGCAGCATGGCCACCGCCATTACTGCTGTTACCCTCGCCTTTACTACTACTCTCTCTTCCCAATGGTGACAAATGGCAGAAATACGTTGGCCCTCTCTTCCAAACAGCGACAGAACCATCATCAAAACCACCACCAGCCCTACAACGAGGCGGCTGTTGTGGGGAGATAGAATGGGACCTTTGTCTCTGTGAACTGGGATCATCAGAAATCGTGAGCTTAGACATCTCCTGCTTTAATCGAGCATGCCCTGCCTCAGCTGGTGATGTTGGTCCTTGAGCTGATGCTGTTGTATTATCCATTTCAACCCAATATTCCAAGATCTATCAAACCCCACTTCAGATTCAACCAGTTTGATTTTCCTTCCTCCAATGCTCTGAGAAAAAAACAATAGGATGTATCTATGACTAATTTACTGACACCCCACTATATATCTGTGTCTATGTAGCAATATACAACTGAAAATTTTGAAGTGCATTTCTTGCTGAAATGGAGAAAATGGTCGCCTTTTAAGTTCAAGAAGCCACTTTTTTCGGCCCCTGACAGCTAGCTTTCTCATATCATTTCCGTTAAATAATGACTGTCAAAGGTTAATGACGCAACAGATCCAAGTGCTGTTGAACTCTACATTAGTGATTCATTCTATATAACCTGGGCAAATGCCATAGTTTTCCAGAATTCACGGAATGGACCCGTATAAGATTCGGTAAAGTGATGTCACGTGCCCCAAATGCAGTTTCTAGCAAAATGGCCTTTGAAAAGGTGAAAAGGTCTTAACATCAGTTCCAATTTTGATCATCTCAGGCCTCTCATGGTTCACATACATTGGAGGTCAAACCAATGACCAGAAAATTGGCCTCATCTGCAGCTATTGTACAACGAGCCTTGATATCTGAATTATTTGCATTTAGGCATCAGAATCCAGTCTAATCCTACCTCAACTTCCCTCTTCTTATGCTGACTAAACTTGCAATACATACGTTCAATCTTACTTCTATGTATCCAAAAACTCTTACTCTAGAGTGCTTCTGCATAGTTCAAACTTTTGGTTTACACTCTCGTTGTTTCATCAATTAGCAAAAAGTTGTCTTGGAAAATATTAATCATAGTTTAGAAGTGTCTTGGCAAGGTTGGAGTAGGATGGCTTACCGAGCTATTTAATGCTACACCATGAAGTAGTAGCATGCCCGACGAATGGAGAAGCACTACCTTGATTCCAATTTATTAGAACAAAGGATATATTCAAAGTAATGCGAACTATCATTTAAAAATACCATATAAATCCTTACCCATAACTACTGACCTAAAATTTCTCACAGCTTGCGCTGCTACCCATGTACACCAATTACATAAAAGGCAGTCCAAAATTTCTGCTAAAACCAGAAAATTGAATATTGACTAATTAATGTCAGATTTTTCCAGAATTTCTGGAATAGATTCAACATAGGATTCAGTAAAGTGATGTCAGTCATGCACCCCAAAATGCACATATAGCTAAATAAGCATTGGAAAGGCAAGGACTTAGCATGAGTACCAATTTTGATGATGTCATGCCTCCCTAATTTCAGCATGACTAGAAAATTAGCTTCATCTGCATTATATTTTTGGGTAACATCTGCAGGGTGCAGCTGCTATACAGCCAAAGGGTTGAATTTGTTTAGTGAAAAAAAGGGGTTGAAATTGACCTCTCTGAAATTTTTGACTTATAACGGCTCTGGCCCGACTGTTAATAGTCAGTAGGACTAGATTTACTGTTTACTTTTTCTAGCCGGTTTACATAGAATATACACAAATTACACACGATTATATAACAACAACAACAATATATCTAGTGTAATCCTACAAGTGGGGTTTGAGGAGATAGTATGTGCCCAACCCTTACTCCTATCTTGTGGAGGTAGAGAGGTTGTCTCCGAAGACCCTCGGCACAAGGAAAATGAAAAGAAGCAGTATCAAAAAGTAGTAACAACAGTGATATAATAAGATAATAATGCGAAAGAAATACCAAATAGTCATATAACTCTACGAACAAGAAAATACAAGACTAATACTAATGCAACTGGTAGTCTGGTATGGCAAAGAGATACACTTAACTACCAGCAATCTTCTATCTTAATCCTCGCCTTCCACACCTTCCTATCAAGGTTCATTCTCTCAGTAAGCTAAAGTTGCGCCATGTCCTGCCTAATCACCTCGCTCAATACTTCTTAGGCCTACCTCTACCTCTCCTTATAGAGGCATCCGCACCTCTCCTCTTCACATGCTCATACCATCTTAACCTCACTTTCGCATCTTGTCCTCCACGGCAGCCACTCCAACCTTGTCATGAATAACTTTATTCCTAATTTTATCTCTCCTTGTATGCCCACAAATCTATCTCTGCCACTTTCATCTTCTGGACATGAGAGTTCTTAACTGGCCAACACTTTACCTCATACAACAAAGTCGGTCTAACCACCACTCTATAAAACCTACATTTAAGTCTAGGCGGCACTCTCTTGTCACATAAAACGCCGGATGTGAGCCTCCATTTCATCCACCCCGCTCCAATACGATGTGTGACATCCCCGTCAATCTCCCTATTACCTTAAATTACTGAACCAAGGTGTTTGGAACTCCCTTTCTTGGGGATGACTTGAGTGTCAAGCGTCACTTCCACATCCGCTTCATGAATTTCGTCACTGAACTTGCAGTCCAAGTATTCCGTTTTGGTCTTGCTCAATTTGAAACCTTTTGACTCCAGGGTCTGTCTTCAAACCTCCAGTAACGTATTATACACAATTATATACATATACTATATATTCATTGGCTATTTTTAGTTTAAGCGCGGCTATTTAGGTTAATTATTCAACTTAACCCAAAAGATACTTTAAATTCCTAATCCTGAATGACTTTTCAGGATTGTCTTCAACATGTTTTCTGGAAAAAAGAATGTGTATATATAATTTTTTTGTAAATAAGTTTTTTTTAAAACAAATGAGTGTCTTATAGCCCTTTCCACTTGATTTATTTAACCTCTATTACTGTTTATTATATAGTTTTGACTCTATCATTTCCTATAATACGAATGTAACGTTTTTCTATCAATCTGTCTTTAAAGTTTATATTACCATAGCAAGAATTCTATTCAATGTTCCTTCCAAAATTCTTGACATGAATTAACAGTCATTCGGTTAATTACCGATAATTAACTTATATACACTTACAAGGCAAAAATATTTCGCCACTGTTAGTATAGTTAATCTGTTGTAACATGTTAATACCTTATTTTTGGGGTTACAAACTCATGCATAAGATAGACAATTACCAGTAATATAAATAGTTTTTAAATGACCTGATACTTGATATTACATAAAATTTTGCAGTCAGTGATTTTAAGTTGAATGCTAATTAATACATAATTCTATTCAAGCTTTACTTGTAAAGTCTTTTAAAACAACTTGTGCAATAAGTTTATAACAAGATTCAATCCAAAAAGAGCACCTCATAGGGAATGAACAAGCTATTAGCTGGAATAACAATGAATGCTATCATTTCTGTATTGGCGAAAACTCCTCGCTTGAAATTAATGAAAAGAGTTGTCTCTTATATAACACCAACAAAAAACTCAGGATCTAGGGAGGGTAGTGTATAGTATATATGCAGACCTTATCCCTACCTTGTAAAGATAGAGAGGTTATTTCCGATAAAGAGTTGTCTCTTATAACAATTTAAAGAAATGCTTAGCAACCACTTAGGAGTACAAATACTAGTCTACAACATGAAGAATGGCCACAACAAAAGGCAAACAAAACACTTCTATATAGAATGCTGGATAGAGAGCAGGCAACTTTCTGCCTGTTGCTATTGAGAGTTTCAGTCTTCACTTGGTGTAGAGAACATCCATAGGTGGGTGACCGTACAGAGGCTGCTTCAATCTCTTCTGATCAAAAGTGTGCCTGCTATAGTGCCATTCAAAGAGGTATATTTCAATCGTTTAGCGACTACTAAATTTCCGTTTTAGCATAGAAGAATCGTAAATGGAAGTGCAGCGCAAAATGGCATTTGAGGCTTGCTCAACTTACCCAATAAGACCAATCGAACGTGCCAGCACGAACAGCCCTCTGAACTTAGGATCTAAGAATACAAGCAGCCCATGAGCTCTGTCTGACCAACTTTTATGTGACAACCGTAAGACCTTGAAGAGTTATTAAAATGCCGATGAAACTCAAGCATAAGCGCTCTATTTGTATTTACTGTTCCTTATGGCTGCAATCTCTTGCAGTGCTACGTGCTGTCTGTGCTTGAATTACATACTCCTTCAGCAGACCGGTAAATTTCTCCATCAATTCTTGGAAAGACGGGCGAGACTGTGGTTCACTGAGTTGGACAAAACAGTAAAGTTTCATACCAGCTCAGTCAAAAAGATGAGAAAAATTAATGTGATTCGACGAAAAATGGTTGGTAGGGCTAGCGCCTACATGGTCCTAACCCCTACCCCGGAAGGGTAGAGAGGCTGTTTCCGGGTGTGTACATGCTTATACATGGATCAATCGTACATGCATTGCATAAGGGTGCATACATGCTTATCCATGTATTAAAAACCATGGTATTACTAATGTAATGGTTTGCTATGTATTAGTTATATATAGGATTATACCAAATAGGGGGTATAACTAATACATGTATTAGTTATACATAGGTTGAAAAACGCCACCAAACAACAACATACCCAGTAAAATCCCACTAATTGGATCTGGGGAGGGTAGAGTGTACGCAGACCTTACTCCTACCTGGGAAGGGTAGAGAGGTTGTTTCCGGAAGACCCTCGACTCAACAGAAGAGATAATAATATCATAAAAGAAACAAAAGAAAAGGTCTGTAACAACAAAAGAAGCCAGAAAAGTAATAACATCATCTTAAGAGACAACAAATAAGTGGTAAAAAACGCTACCAAACAAGGATTAATAATATCAAAGCTAATAGATGTATTGTTTTCCCCTAATACATCCTACCAAATGACCCCCAAGTATTTCCATGCCCAGTTGAAAGCTAGAAACAGAGTATACTGCATCTACACTGAACATGATGAGAGATTAACTGAACCTAAGCTGATTCAGCAGGAATTTGTGGGTTTTTTCCAGAAGTCACTAAGCAGCATCAGAATTACCTGGGATTGACATAAAACCTTCAATGTCCCAGACATCAATATAAACTAATATCATTGCAAGAGGCTACCCAGGTTACATATTCTCCATTAATGTCTTCTTTATTTTCTCTCAGATTGGCGAGGACGATATTGTATATGTTCCGATGTCATCTCAGCCTGGTTTGCTAAGGACGACTCATTTATAACTTCAGAATATATTTGAATGTCAATGCAGTACGCCTCAGAAGTTTTCAGCATTCCTCATAGGGCTATTTGCTTCAGCAAAACAAATTATGATGGTAGAAAGAACTAAGATGCAAACCTGTGCCAACAGCTCTCAATAATAGAAGCCCACTGCGGATGAACATCCTTTGGGATATCTAGCCGCTGATTCATGAATCCTACAGCTCCAATCACCTGCAATCAACTCCAAATAGTTGTTCTTTATATGTATTATGATGAAAAATAATCCAATTTTATCTTTTACTTATCTTATGCGTGAAG